ATTTTGTTGGAACTCGATAATTATTCTAATTATATTTTAGATTTTTTATATTTTAAAATGAGATGTTCATCCTCTATTTGATTATGTTTATCCGTAATTATTTATACGAATTCAAACATCGAGCTTTGATAAGTTATACTTATGCATAATTACTTATAATCTTGAATTTTAAGTAATATGCATCAATATACAGCACTTTATGCATAACAAAAATATATCGATATTCGTATCAAATTAACTATTTAAAATTCATCATTTTTTGTGTAATTTTTTAATTCAATATTTTTTTATTATAATTTAATTTATGTATAATAACGAAGTAATTTATATTTTGTTTAATAATATAATTTTCTTATAAATATAATAATTAATTATTTTGTTAAAACTCGATAATTATCATAATTATATTTTAGATTTTTATTATTTTAAAATAAGATGTTTATCCTCTATTTGATTATATTTATCCGCAATTAGTTATATGAATTCAAAAATTGAGCTTTGATAAGTTATACTTTTGCATAATTTACTTGTAATTTTGAATTTTAAGTAAACATTGGTTTTATGTGGTTTTGAGAAAGTTGTACTATTTTTATTTTTGAATAAAATATAAATTAAAAAATATCATAAAATTTTGAAAAAAAAATATCGATATCAGTGTTAATTAATCCTTTTAAATGTTCTTGTGTTTTGGTGTAATTTTCTTAATTAAATTATGTTAGTTATTAATGATCATCATAATTATATTTTATGATTTTTTATATTTAAAATGAGATATTTATCCAATATTTGATTATGTTTATCTGCAGTTAGTTAGACGAATTCAGATATGGAACTTTAATAAGTTGTACTTATGCATTATTTACTTGTAATCTTAAATTTTAAATAATATGCATCAATAAACAATACTTCGTGCACAAAAAACTGGTTTTAAGAGTTTTTGTCAAAACAAGGGGCTGCCCAGTCGAGAGCTGGTGTTTTGCTTGCTCGCTTTTGAGGGAAGTAGTGAGCCCCTCAAGAGCACGCCAACGAACGACGCGGCTCCATACCCTAACTATAATATAGTATAGATTATGTGTTTTAAAAAAAAGACAATAATGATTTTATTTTTGAATAAAATATAAATTTGAAGATATCGTAAAAATTTTAAAAATATATATCAATGTTAATGTCAAATCAACTATTCAAAAAATTTC